CCTCCCCACTCTGGGTCTGCCCGAGGCACACCCTGAGAGAAAGTCCCCCTGGGTACAAGCTGGGCTCCAGGAGCCACACTCAGAGTTAGGTCCCCATGGGCTGTGCTCCCCTAGATGGGCTCCCTGCTGAAGTCAGGTCAAGCTGGTACTGGAGAGAGAGACTTTTGCCTATCCCAGGCAAAGTTTTTGGCTACCACTGCTGTCCAAAAAGATTCAGTCTTGCAGTGTTGGCCGTGGGAGTGTTAGTTCAATTCTGGGCTTTTGAGGCAATTGTCCAGATCTCAGTAATGGGGCAGAAGCAAGCAGATCAGAAGGCAGTGGTTGCACACTCTTGTGTTCTCAACCCTGTGCTCCGTTTTTCAGTGGAAGAGGAATGCTCAAACTCCAATATGGGCGGGGGTGTGGGTGAGTGGGGGAGACATCCACAAACTAGGAAACTAATGTATGACTATTGGGGAAGGAGAATCACAAGGAGCCCAAGAAGGGTTAAAAGGTTGGCCATGCTATGGAAGTTCACAGAAAGGAGAAGTCAGTAGCCTCATGGAACTCTGAAGCTCTGAGGTTTAAGCTAGGCCTTGAGGAGTCAGGAAGATTCTAGAGGCAAGAGAGAATGGCAGCAGATGGAAGAACAAGAGTAACAGTTCAGAGGCAACTACCGTCCTGACTTGTTTAAGAGGAACACCTTATGAGATTGGTTTTATTACGTAGCTCATAAGTGGCAGAACTAGGATTTAAACGCAGATCTAGCTAACTCTAAAATTCCTACCAGACTATGAAAAACTCTGAATGCCGGGGTGAGAGACTAGGCATGCTCTTAATTAAGTTAGGAATAAAAAGTCATTATATTTTGGCTAATAATATACAGATCTGTGATCATTAATTTACTTAGTAAATAAAAGTTCTTTTAGTTTTTATTGGTTTCAGAGAGGAAGGGAGAGGGAGAGAGATAGAGAGGTAATCATTGATCGGCTGCCTCCTGCACGCCCCCTGCCCGAGACCTGGGCATGTGCCCTGACCAGGAATCGAATCGTGATCTCCTGGTTCATAGGTCGACACTCAACCATGAGCCACACCAGCAGGGGCCAAAAGTTCTTTTTATAAAAGTCATCTAGTAAGTCACAGTTAACCCTAACCTCAAGCAGGTCACTCTTCTTTTTTCTTTTTTTTTTTTTCTTTTTTTCATATTTTATTGATTTTTTTTAACATATTTTATTGATTTTTTTTTTTACCCCCCTCCCTCCCCAGAGTTTTATGTCCATTGGTTGTACTTATATGCAGGTCACTCTTCTTATTTGGCCTCCTGAAGTATTGACTGTTGCTTCTTCCTTTGTGGCACAGGTTAGACCCTACCTTCCTTAAAAGGGCTGTGGGAACCTGTTTGACCCAGTACAGGTTATAGGATTTCCAAGTAAACATTAGTCCTGGGAGAGGGGATACACTCTGGGATAAAGTACTAGACTGATGCCACCACTCAGACACCTACGTATTCAGTGCTTCCTGCCTATTGAGATGCTTTGCTTCTGTGTGCACAACTTGCCAATTCACAAAGCACTGCTGCCCTTTGAGTCAAGGAAGGCAAGTATTGTCATTCCTGCTGTACAGTTCAAGAAACTGAGGCTCCGGGAAGGGAAGTGACTTACTTGCTCAGGGTCAGGAAGTTGGCTAGTAAGGGGTAATGTGGAGGCTGTAGGATGCATTGAAGAAAACACAGACTTGGATGGCAAAACGAGTTTGTGTCCTGACTTCCAAGCTAACTGGCTGTATGACACTGAGTTACTTTAACTATGAGTTTGTTTCTTTATCTGTAAATAGACATAGTACCAACGGCTTGTTATCAGGATCAAATAACAATGCCACGTGATCTATAAAGGGTTGTACCTCGTGAGGGCTTTTTATCAAAGGGCAGAGTCAGCAGGTGAACCCAAGCGGTCACATTCCGGAATTTGCTTCTCTGCCTGTACCACACTGCCTCTGCTCTACTTGTTTCTGGACACTACCTCACTCATGATCCTTTTCCGGTGTCAGTCCTGTTCTCTTGCCAGTCCGGAAGCTGCTGCCCTCTCCCTCCCCACTCCTTTGAGGACTGATTTACTGATCGTGGGTTGATAACCACCTCCCTAGAGAGCAGCCTGGAGCCACTGAACTTCCAGTCTCTTGGGCCTTGTGACTGCTGTCCAGAGCTCCCTCCTTGCCTTCCTGCCTGGGCCAACCCAGTGCTGGGCCTGTGGGGGAGGAGTTCCCAGACATACTACCACACCCAGGCCTCTACTCTGTAGAACTGAAGATTTACAGGCCCAGGAGTTCTCTCAAAATGCTAGGGTCTCCCAGGTAACTCAGGAGACGTAAGTAACAGCACCAACCCCTACAATATGTTCTCTCCTTTCCCCAAGGGAGGAGCTACAGAATCCAAGAAGAATGTGTCTTAACTTGCCCCCATGTATGCAGGCCTTATGCATTTGTTGACTGACTCAGCCCCAACTCCACCCCCACACCACCCCGTCTTTCCTATCCCCATCAACTGTCCCCTGCTCCCAGGGCTCTTTGTCTCATTTCATCTACCTAGTGCCCTTGTCACAGGCAGTTTCCTCTCCATTTCATGGACTGGGAAACTGAGGTCCAGGGAGAGTAAGTGCCTCATGCTTGGTTTCAGTGAGTCAACAGCAGAACAGAGCTGGGGTTAGAAATTCGGTCTTTTGACTTACAGTCTGAGGTTCCACTGCCCTATAGGATCCTTAACTCCTACCTGGACCCATTTCCTGAGGCTCTCTATCATCTGTCCTGAAGTTGGACACAGATTCTTATTCACACAAATAAGATAGAAATTTTTCATGGGAACCAGAGACAACCTCATAGAAATGAAACCATTTCTCTCCCTGCTGGTCCCAGGGAAGCTGGGATTAAGTTCTGGGTCCTGTGCAGATCCCACACCACATAGTTCCCTTTTGCCTCCCAATGGGATCTCCCTCTATCTACAAATTGATTTTTGAGGCTCTGGACCAGTATTTGAGAGGTCAGGCTGAGAGTTGAGGGGTTTCCAGACTAAGGTGCAGTTTTGCAGTGTATATAAAGCGAAATGGAGGAAAATGGGCCAGTGGTGATGGTGCTTGCATGGAGCAAGGGATATTTAGATATCTGGGTGTGTCTAAAACAAACTGTCCAGCCCTGGCCAGTGTGGTTCAGTTGGTTGGAGAAATGTCCTGTGCACCAAAAGTCTCAGGTTCGATTCCCAGTCAGGACACATACCCAGGTTGCAGGTTCAATCCCTAGCCTGGTTGGGGCACATGCCAATGTTTTTCTCTTACATCAATGTTTCTCTCTCCATTCCCCACTCTCAAATAAATAAATTAATTAAATTGGCTCTCCCCTCCTAGGATGCAGGGACCTGGCTGTGAGAGTCGGGGAAAGGAAGTCACATACTGGCCTGATGGCCAAGAGGAAGTAGTCAATGAGAGGAGAACCTTTGCCACAGCAGTATAAATAATCCCAGGGTTCCCGGAAGCTGTGTTCTTTCAAGAACTCAGAAGAGCAGTTCCTCACCCTGAGGCCCCGTGAGCTGCAAAGGGGACAAGGGTAATGGTTGGAGCTAGGACTCTTTCTTTCATACCTCACTCATAATTATAGCAGCTCATTTATTTGGTACTTCCCATATGCCATGCCTCAGGCCAAACACTTTCTATACTTGAGCTCATTTCATACTCTGAACAATTGTAACACAATAGGCAAAACTTCCCTCATTTTACAGATGAGAAAATTGAAGCTCAGGAAACTTATTATGTTGCCCAAGATCATACATGACTAGTTGGTGGAGCTATGAGTAGAATCCCTGGCCACTCTGACTCCAGCATGTGTTCTCAGTGATAGAGCTTTTTTAAAAAAATTTTAATGTATATTTTTTATTGATTTTTTACAGAGAGGAAGGGAGAGGGATAGAGTTAGAAACATCGATAAGAAACATCGATCAGCTGCCTCCTGCACACCCCCTACTGGGGATGTGCCCGCAACCATGGTACATGCCTTTGACTGGAATCGAACCTGGGACCTTTCAGTTCGCAGGCTGATGCTCTATCTACTGAGCCAGACTGGTTAGGGCTCAGTGATAGAGCTTTAATGGCGCTATGTTCTCTATCCAAGAGTCTGGAAGCCCCTGAAATTCTTCAGAGGTACATGCCATGGTCTCAGAAAAGTGATAGGAAAGTAAGGGGGAAATTAAGGTTTTGTTTTATTCTTCTGTTCATCCTGCTTGGGTGGGCTTGGAGGATCTGCCTCACCCCACCAAGGACCTCAAGAGAAGATGCTGATATCTAGGAGCCACCCCTTTGCTCCATACTCAGACTCCCACTAGATCCCAGCCTTGGCACATGGCTGCATCTCAGAGTGACGGAGAGCGCCCTGTGCCAGAACCCCTCTCAGTGTACATAATGGGAGGGATCCATGCCTAGTAGAGGGTCTGTAGATTGATCTTACATCTGTACACCGACCTTTTGTGTCTATATTGCCTGGAAGAAAAATACAAGTAGCTAATACTTATTGAAGGCAACTGTTCTAAATGTTTTACCATGTTACCTCTTAATAATCCAATGAAGTGAAGTAGGTATTATTTTATTCCCATTTTACACATAGAAAACAAGCCCACTAATCACCAACTAGTAAGTAATTGGTCCAGGGTCACACAGCTAGAAAATAGCAAAACTAGGATTTGACCTTAGTTGATCTGGCACCAGAATTTATGTGCTCCACATAATATATTTACATACAGTGGCGCCAGCCTCCTTACATCTGAGCATCTTTGCATGATCTCAGGGCCTCTCTTTATTGTCCTGATAGGATTATACGATCGTGTCGGGTTAAGAAAACAGAAGGCCATTTCCCTCTGTGTGCCCCCATTCTTTCGTTCCAAGCGTGTCCTGACCAAGTGTCCCTCTCTGTTCACAGGTCATTGCATCCAGAGGGGCCCAGAAGGGGAAGGAGGCAGTGCCTCCACTGCAGCACCTGCACCCACAATGCAGAGTATAAAGTGTGTGGTGGTGGGCGATGGGGCTGTGGGCAAGACATGCCTGCTCATCTGCTATACAACTAACGCCTTCCCCAAGGAATACATCCCCACGGTGTTCGACAATTACAGCGCCCAGAGCGCAGTCGATGGGCGCACGGTGAACCTGAACCTGTGGGACACGGCGGGCCAGGAGGAGTACGACCGCCTCCGCACTCTCTCCTACCCTCAGACCAACGTCTTTGTCATCTGTTTCTCCATTGCCAGTCCACCCTCCTACGAGAATGTGCGGCACAAGTGGCATCCGGAGGTGTGCCACCACTGCCCCGACGTGCCCATCCTCCTGGTGGGCACCAAGAAGGACCTGAGAGCCCAGCCTGACACCTTGCGGCGCCTCAAGGAGCAGGGCCAGGCGCCCATCACACCGCAGCAAGGCCAGGCGCTGGCCAAGCAGATCCACGCTGTGCGCTACCTCGAGTGCTCGGCCCTGCAGCAGGATGGCGTCAAGGAAGTGTTTGCCGAGGCCGTCCGGGCTGTGCTCAACCCCACACCGGTCAAGCGTGGGCGGTCCTGCGTCCTCTTGTGACCCTGGCACTCAGCTTGGAGGCTGCCCCTGCCCCCCTCCCCCACCAGTTGTGCCTTGGCGCCTTGTCTGCCCCCAGCTGTGCCTTAAAGACTAATTCTGGCATCCCTTGCCAGGGGGCTCCCTGAATGCCTGTTTTCCTTAAGGAGGCCCACAGGGAAAGGGGCTTTGGGTCCCAATCTGCTTGGGAATACCAGGTATTCTTGAGAGCTCACCCAGGCCAAGGTTGGACCCTTCCCCAAGAAGCCAACCCAGTGCTCCTCCCCATTTTTCGCTACTGAGCAGCTGATCCAGCTTTCTACTCAGATGTTGCTGCCTATTGTGGTGCCTTCTCTCAGGTTAGGAGCTCTTAGCACCCTAACCTCCCTTGCTGCTCTTCGAATTGCTCCCCCCTCAAGATGCTCTCCCTTCCCCAATGAAGGAACCCCGAGAAGATGAATGTGCCTAACTTGTCTCCATGTGCCCAGGCCTTATGCATTGCTAACTGACTCAGCCGCCCCCCCCCAACCCCAGGCTCCTACCCCCATCAGCTTCAATAAAACCTCCTGTCTCCAGTGGCCCCGGCTCCTCCCTGTGTGCTGAACATGGGGGGTTGGGCAGGGGACAGGCATGGGCTAGGGCTCCCCAGAGACTGGGAGCCTTTTGTTTACTGTAAGAGGGGACAGAAGACAATAGGCTTCATTGTGGTCCCCCCACCCTCCAATTTCTCCAACAAAGCTCTGGGCTCCCTTAGAGGGGCCAGTCTTGCTATGGGGCCCAGACAGATTCTACAGTAGTCTGGGATGCAAAGGATAGGCTCAGAAAGAGAGGTGGAGAACCATCAGCCTGCAGGCAGGTGTTCTCAGTGGTCTTGCATCTGAGCTATTTACATCCCCAAAGGGAAACATCTTTACGGGCATTTGGGGCTAGAACTCAAGCCTTTACCTCCACCCAAGACTCCCATATCTCTGGAGTCATTACAAGGATAGCTCAGTTACTTCTGCTCACCAAAATTGGTGCTTAGGTCAGACATAGGAGACTCCAGGCCTATGGTGGTAATGGGGCACCATGTGGAATCATAACCTACTATGGATTTATTCCCTCCATCCTTGGAGCTTGTCCTCACCTAAGTTCCATTAGAGATACGCCCAAAGACAAGCAAGCTTTAGCCCAGACTGTTGGCAAAAAAAAAAAATTTATTTTCCTTTGAAATAAAATGTACAATCTAAAGAGCCTGGGAATAGTAGGGAGGTTGGGGAAGGGGCACCAGTTGGGGTCAGAATCTGCCTCTGGCCTTCCACCCCACACTTTTGTCAAGGAGGATGAGTCTGTAAGCCAGGGAAGGGAAGAGAAATATATGCTGTGCCAGTGCTTTTTCTGGAGAAGTCAGCGTTCGGGTACAGATCACCACCTCCACAAGGTGATATCAGAAGCACGGACTGGTAGGGCCCTTGGAAATCATGCAGCCTGCCCACCCCATCATCAGAGATGAAGTCAGGACTAGACCATCTGGGCAGTCTTAGCAGGATGTGCAGAGTAGATTATTGGAGACATGAGCTGAGTGAATGACCACGAGAAGGCAATGGCTGTGGTTTTTAGGTGACAAGCACTGCTCAGTGGTCCCTGACCTCAATGGGAGGTGGCTATGTTAAGGCCAGGAACCAGATGGTGGTTATGAACCTCAGAACTTTTTTTAGCACCAGGTGGAGCTCTGCCAACTCAGCTTCTTGGGGCTTCTCAGGCAAGGGTGATGCTGCTTGCAGGTCCCTGTGCCTTTACATGGTGTGGGGGAAAGGAGATGCCGTAGAGCTGGGTAAAGCCATGTCCTGTGTGTGCCCTTCCTCCTTTCTTCCCTCCCCCATTTCAGTAGGGCCCAGAGAGGACGCAGGAGGTAGGGAAGGCCAGAGTGGTTATCTCGTTCCTAGTTTCTGGGCAGTGGGCCTCCTCTGCAGGAGAGAAGGGTTTAGAACCGCTTTTCCTCAGGCACGGAGGTAATGAGAAGCTCCTTGTTCCCGAAGTCCCACCAGGCTGTCATGTGGAATGCCATGTTGGTTAGGACAACAGTATATTCCAGGATGGCAAAGATGGTGTACACTGTTTTGAGGACACAAGGAAGGGCATGGTGAGCCTCCTGTCCCCACCTTCCCCCTGACCTGGGGCCTCCTGATAAATCACCACCACCTCATGGCCGCACAGGGAGCACACCACCATACTGTACACTATAGGAAACACAATTGTCCTGTGACCGTCTATGGGTCCTAGTCTGGCCTCACCTCCAGCCTCACAATACATGTTGTGCCGAAAGTAGACAGCCAGCGCCGAGAAGAAGGAGAAGAAGTTGATGACGAAGAGCCGCTGTTTCCAGTTGTAGGACTTCTGATCCTATAGGATAGGCTGCTGATGACTCTGCAGCTTGTTGGATATGTGTCAGTGGTCTCTCCTGTTAACCCCAACTCCCAAGGAATGGTCTCCCCAACCTTGGTCATGGAAGGGGCACAGGCAGGGGCACCAGGGTGATGGGCATGTTGACATCCCTGCATTTGGGGTATAATGGGGCCAAGGAGCAGTGGTGTCCCTGCCCCTCCCACTTTGGGAAGATGGACTATGAAAGTTACTTGGAGTCAACCAACCAATCCCTCACCTCCAGATACTGGGAAGAAAAAGGGTGTATATGTGGTGGTGGTTGGGGGGGAAGGAGTGCAATTGTAATTATTACAGACCACAGATCCTGACATGTCTTCCTAACCCATGCCCCTCATTCTACCTCCACTTGGAGCTTCCATCTCTTCTCATCTCCAGTCTCCCATACTACCCAATTCTGACCAGTTACCCTCCCCTTATCCTCAAGTCCCAGCCTCAGCCAAGATTCCATTTAGAACTCCAGTTCCCATCTCACCATTAACCGCATGCAGAGGACAGGTTCCTCGATTGTCCTCTGTGTGCCTGGAGTCTCGGGTCTACCCTAGGGGTGGGCTGTACCTCCTGACTTACTGTGTGCTTCTTGGTCAGCCGCCAGATAATACAGGTGAGGAGCATGTGACTGAGGGATGCTGCGATGAACACAATGAAAGCGTTTTCGTGGATAGCTGGAGGGAGAGAAGAGGGTTGGGAGTGCTCATTGCAGGACGCACCCGAACCCTTACATCTGAAGGTCTGAGTAAGGGAGGGGCAGGGGCATCCCCTCCCAGAACCCTTTCCTTCCCCACTCTCCTTCCCTCCTCAGGTCACCCACTGAAGTCCTCGGAAGAGGAGACATAGGTGAGCACTAGCAGCGCAAGGTTCTCGATGATGTTGAGGATGAAGTTGAGCCGGCAAAGCAGTTGGTAGCGAGGACACGGGGAGGTGCAGCTGAGGTAGTGGTTCCAGTAGGCGAAGGCCACCATGAAGCGGGGTGCCGAGTGCAGGCCGATGCAGAAGCGCCACACGTAGCGCTGGGGCACCTCCCCGCCAATGGCAGAGCTCACCGAAGGCAGGTAATTGGGCACCTAGGGAGTTGTGACCCATGTGAGCACTGGCCCTTGACACACCCACCCGCCTGGAGATCCCTCTCTCCATCTAATCAACCTGGCCCTCTGAAGGCTGTGCTCCAGGAAGGCCTCCTTCAGGTACCCACAAAGCTTTCCGTGGAGACCTCCCTTCTCAGGTCCCTGCTCCCCAGAGTGCTTGGTCCTCACTCCCCAGTCAGACCGGTGCTTGTGCAGGGGCATAGGTGACCTCCATCTCCCTCTACATGGAAGCTACACAAGACTGGGAAAGCTGTAGACAGGTTCAGAGACTCTGAGCCAGTAGCGAAAGGCCCTGAGAGGTTCCATGTACCCAGGACCCCAGATTCAGTCCCACGACAGGGATGGGTCAGAGACCATCTTGAGCTTCCTTGGGACAGTGGTGGAGTCACTGCCCAACTGAACTGCTCCCCTGACTGTTTTCTGGGCGGGTGTGCCCTAAGTGATGGAAGTACCGTGAGATACTGGGGTAGCTGCCCAGAAGGGAACCCCCACCCTGTCATGTTTAAGAGAATGATGCTCCTAACCTGTGGTAGTCACCCTGATCGTGTGCATCTCTCCCACCCATCTTCCTCAAAAATGGGTTTCCTCATTCCTTAAGGAATTAGAGCATAATTTTTCAAGTTGAGGAAGGAGGAGGAGATAATACACAAGGATTGCTGTGTTGCTTGTATGGGAGGGTGAGAGAGTGGGAGATGAGTAACAGGAGCTTCTATGGGGACAAGAAAGCCTGGAGGAGGCTCTCTTGGACTCGAGGGCCTGGAGCTGCTTCTGAAACTTTAATAGGGATATAACTCCCTGGGGACTGTGTGAGCGTGCAGAAGGTCTAGAATCTAAAAATCTGCATATCTAAAAGATTCCAGGACTCTGGAACCTACCAGTCTGTTGCCCATACTTTTCATGAACTTTTTTTAGACTTTCAATAAGGGCCAGAGCAGTACCAGAGCCCAGAGAGGGAATGACCCTGCTGCGATTATGGTGAGACCAGTCTTCTGAGATGGAGTTTCGCAAGATCCCTTCCTTTTTTTCCCAATGGAGACATTGACTGGGTCTCCAAAGCAGCTCCAGGCAGGCATGATGCAGGCAGCTCACAGGGCAGGGGTTTCATAGCCTTCGCAGAAAAGGACGTGGATGCTGCTCTCAAGGCCAGGGCTGGAGACACCATAGCTTGAGACCAGGCCCAGTGAAGGGGCAGCATGGAGACTTACAAACCTGGGGCCGCGGCCCAGCTCTGCCTTTATTAGTGGGCAAGCCACTTCACCTCTCTGAGCTTCAATTTTGTCATTGACAAAATAGGGATACTACTACCTACCTTGCAGGGTGATGGTGAATATTAAATCTAATGTTTGCAAAGCATCTGCAGTATCTAATACAAGGAATGGCTTTCAGAAGACAAACGTCTCTGAAAAGCCTGCAAATAAGTGGTGAGCTACTATGTGACTATTACTCATGAGATGGCCTACATATGAGGCAGAGGTGGGAGTCCTTCACCAGACACTTCTGAGATCTCCAAGCCTCCTTACTTGACTCCTTTGCCTCTCTGAGTAGGTCCTCTGAGTAGGGTGAGTGGGAGTGTTGCCTTCACTCCCTAGAATATTCATGCTGAAAACTCCTGCCACAATCTAAACTATTTAAGAGGAACAGGACCAGCCTCTAAAGCTTGGATGGAAGAGCCCAGTGCATTTAAGGGCTCACATCCCTGGCCAATGCTGGGAAACAGGTAAAGAGTAGAGATGGCAGAGCTGGGGAGACACCTGAGGAGGAAGAGAGAACTAGGGCCCTGTGGCTGCCAGTCCTGTCCTTACAAACTATACCCAGAGTTCTAAGAACAGGAACTGCATCTCATCTCAACTCTCTCTGTCTCTCTCTCTCTCTCTCTCTCTCTCTCTCTCTCTCTCTCTCTCACACACACACACACACACACACACACACACACACAAAATCAAGTACAGATACTCATATACACCAGACATATAAGTTTCCCATTCACCAACTATGCCAGCAACAAGCAACATCAGGAGCTATCAGAAACCAGGCACACCATTCACCTCAAACCTCACCATGAACTCAGAGCTAAGGGTATTGAGAGATGGGAACATAATCCCTCCCCCCAAGAACAGAAACCCTTTGGTCTGGAAGAAATAGCTTAGTGGATCTGTGGCAGGGCAGCAGGGCAGAAATGCACATGCTATAAAGGGAGGGGGCCCAAAATATTCCCTGTCTTAGCATCTCAGTTTTTATCATTAGAGATTCATATTTTTGGCCTCAGATCAAAGTTCCCTGAAATTATGGATCGCTTTCCTATTTACCTTTCTACACCCTGCCACTTGCCAACTGGTCAAAAACTCCTAATCCCATCATTTCCACTTTCTATTTTCTACCCTCCATCCCTCCTGTTTACTCTTACAGTCCCCGTCTTAGATCTCACCTCCCAGTAGCATGAGCTATTGTACTAGCCTCCTCACTGGTCTCCCTGCTCTTGTCCCCTGCCATCCTTTCAGGGGCAGATTGATCTTCTAAACCACAAAAATGACCATGTCCCTTTCCTGTTTTTTGTTTGTTTTCTCTCTCTCTCTCTCTCTCTCTCTCTCTCTCTCTCTCTCTCCCTCCCTCCCTCCCTCCCTCCCTCCCTCCCTCCCTCCCTCCCTCCCTCCCTCCTCTCCCTCTCTCTCTCTTCCCTCTCCCTCTCCCTCTCCCTCTCTCTCTCTCTCTCTCTCTCTCTCTCTCTCTCTCTCTCTCTCTCTCTCTCTCTCTCTTCCCCCGCTTTCTTTTACCCCTTCCCCTTTCCTGTTTAAAATCTTTCCAAAGCTTCCCATTGCCTTCTGGATAAAACCAAGTTATCAGCTCCACCCCTCCACTCCCAAAGTTGTCAGTCTGGCATTCACAAAGATTCTTCTTCACCCACAGCAACAATGCCCACTCAAGGAAAGAAGTCTTCCCCGATGTCCAAGCTAGGTTATGTGCTTCCTCTGGGCCCTGCTATCCCTGTCTTCCCTTTTATCACAAAAGGAGTCCTATCTCACTGTGTAGTGACTGTCTGGGTCTAGGACTATCTTCTGTATGAATGAAATGCTAAGGGCAAGTCCATGTTCAATTCAATGCCCCTGACACAGAACCTCTACTCCTAGGTCCTCAACAAAGGCCTGGTGGACTGCTCCTGGAGGCAGGAAGTCCATCTAGGTTTCTAGCTGGCAGAGCTCTTGAGTGGATACAGGGAGGCCAGAGACAGAATCCAAGCTAGAATATCCCATAGCAAGGCTTGGGGTCCTCTTAGGTCAGGGCCCCAGTCTGAGCTATAGCTGTTACTTCTAGCTCCTGGCCTCATCTTCCTTCTTCAGTCCTGGATTCCCTTTCAGTCTGGTCTTCCTTCACTCTCCTTCTCCCTCTCATGATCTCTCTTACCTATTCCCACCCACTTCCCTTCACCCTTTCCCCTTTGCAACTCTACTTTCTGAGTCTCTCCCTCAACCCTCCCCCCAACTCTGACTTGCCCCCACCATCCTTTTATCTCTTTCCCCTCTCTCTAACCTTCCACCTTCTCACCTATTCTCTGATTTTCCCCTTATCTCCATCTCCCAACTTGATCCTGACCCGGGGCTGGGGAGCATGGAACTCACCCCACAGTCAGTGGCCACCGTGTACTCAAAGTGGAACATCAGGGACCAGATGATGCAGAAGAAGAAACCGAACACAGGGAAAGTGATGAGCCACCCGAGCATGGCTGTGAAGCGAAGCCGGAAGTTGGTCCCATCAGGGTCCAAGGGCTGGGAGACCGCAGAGAACATCTTGTAGGAACTGGTGCCTAAGCAGGGCAAGGGATACAACATAGGGCCTGGTGGGATACCTAGGCCTGGGAAAGTGGAGCCTTTTCCAGAACTACTTGGGGTATAGAAAAGAACCAAAAGAGTAGAACAACATAAGGGAAAAGAAAATTAGTGCAGAAGAGAAGGAGGTGCAGATGGAGATGAGGTAAGAGCAGCAGAGATAGACAGTGTCAGGTCTTAGGAATCCCCTTGGCACACTGATCTTAAACAACCACTCTTGAAGGGACTGGAAAATAGAGGCTCCTAGTGGCCTGGACAGGAAAGCTCAGATGGCCCACGTCATCTTCACTATCTTCATTCCCACTCAGAAGGGTCAGAGGTGGAAGGGCTATTATTTCCATTCCACAGAATGGGAGACTGAGGCCAAGCACTATGCCAGGATCAATCATTAGGACTAAGGCCTCTTGCCACCTGACAGCTTAAGGCCTCAATCAAGGCTTTCTACAGGTCAAGGATCCTAGACAAAGAACCCTATCTCACAGTGGCCCAAGCCCTCCCACTGACCCTGTCTGACCACATTCCAGCTCTTTACCCATGTTCAACTAGGAACAGTGGGCGTGCCCCAGACCTACTTCAATGGGACCGCAGGCTACCAGCCAACCCACCCCCAGGCTCAGAATGATCCAAGCCTCAGGCCAGCAATATACCCTGATCCCAAGATCCCAGGGTCCCTCTGAGGCCCAGACTTCTATCTCCTTTCTCTCTAAGAAGACCATGTCACCCACTTCAAGGTTTACAGGAATCTGAGAATCATGGAAACCTTGTTGGACCACACCCAGGACAGACAGACCTAGACCCAGGAAACTGGGCTGCTTTTGCTCCCTTCTCCTTCTAGGCAAAGAACTCCCTTTCCACCCCCTCTGCCCCATCCATCATGACCTCTCAATCTAGGCTCCCTTCAGGGGAGGGGTGGGAGGTGGGGGTTTAACAAAGATGATTTTGTATTAAAATGCCTAAGACCAAAGCTCCCCTTGGGACTCATACCTCCTCCATTAGAGAACCCCAATCCATTAGTCTAGCTTACCATCAGGAATTGGGACAGGAGAAGGGCTGGGGGAAGAAGAGGGGCACTGAGCAACACTTACACTGGGTGCTGAAGGGTCCGAAGAGCTTGGCTTCAGGGCTTTAGCCAGACTGAGACTGTTTTAAGACTAAAGGGTCCCACCCCCAGCTCCTCAGGGCCGGCCTTCCCACCCACAGAGTGCCCAGATCTCCACGCCTGCTCAGGCAGACAGTCTTCCTAGGACCAATAAGGCCAAGTCATAAATTTTGGAACACTCTGAAAAGGTAAGAAGTGATGGTGGCTAAGGTCAGCCCACAACAGCTTCCTTGCCAGGGATGGGGGTGGGGAGTTTGTCTAGTGATACAGGTAGGTTTCTAGAAAGGGAAAAGTAGAAAACAGAATAGGATTTCACCATTTTTTGTTGGAATGGGAATGAGTATGTTGTTGGGCCCCATTGGAGAGCTAATCTTAGGGCAATAGATTCATGATCCAAAAGAGATCTAGACAGGCCTGGATATGAGCTATCAGTATCCAGCCTGGACAGATGCAGAAACAGCTATTGGCTGCATTAAGAGAGACCTAACAGCCTATAATAGGAAAGGAACAGTCCTGTTTTCGCCTGTACTGCCAAATCCATATGAAGTCCTATGCCCAGCATGGAGAGAACAGTGACCAATAATGCCTGAAGGAACTAGAGTTATACAACCTAAGAGTAGGCTCATGGACTACCATCTCTGCAGGGCTGGCTGAAAACCAGGAGGAAAGAGCAGCTCTAAGTAGCTACCGAAGCGGAGATTCACCAAGAAGAGAGTGTATGCTCACTATAAGAGTGAGCTTGTTAATTGTTAGCTACTAAGCCTTGTTAGAATAGGCTGCCTGGGGAGGAAGAAAACTCCGCATCACTGGGAATGTGCAAGCAGAAGTAAAGCCATCTAATTAAAGATATGTTAAACTAAGGTTACTTCTTTCATTCCTAGGGTTGGCCATTCCTTGGAATTCAGGGTGAAAAATTCAGAGCCTATATAAAAATCACCAGGGAGATCCAACATGGTAATCCTAGGGAGTAGGAACTTAATACCTCCAGGGTTGCCAGGCCTAGTTCTGCCCAGCAGGACCAGAACTATCCCCCCTATAGCTGCCTATAACTTATCTACATAATCAGTATGCCAAGAACAGGTCATAGATATGCCAGATATGCTGAGGTATTGTTCCCATTAGCCCTTGGAGCCAGCCATGAAGGGCAGAGCAAACAGCCTACATTTAATTCCATATGCTGTGCAAATATTATGATTTTCTGTATGGACTATGACTGCATTATACCAGGCCTTCATTTTCCCAGAGCACTGGGCTGGGGGTCTTATTCAACAAATACTGACTCAGATGTAGTGCTCACCTTCAAGGAGCATGCATTCTGGTGGGGAAGGTACACAAATATAAGGTGATACAACTGTGTGAGGAAGTGGTTAAATTTGCCCCAAGGAAGCTGAAGAAGGCTTTTTGGAGGAGGATACGCCTCAGCAGGATGTTGCAGAATGAAGAGGAGTTGGCCAGGATAATAGAAACATTTGATGTATTATCAAAGGTGAGAAGTAGTCTTGGGTCTTTTCTAAGATGAGAACTAGGTCTTAGAACTAGATCCCCCTTAGAGCACCCGGTCACCCTCTTTCTTCTAGTTCTGTTTTTTTCTGATAGCTCCCAGCCTGGTTTTTATCAGACTGGCTACCCATTGCTCAAGGCCCATGATTACCCGTTGACAAATCAAGAGGGAAAACTTCAAGTCCTATGAACAGAATTAGTGCCCTACCTCTATCCCCAGCCAGACTCCACTGCTAGTCACAGCCCCTTTTTTTTGATCAAATGCTCTTTATAGGACTGGGAGTCTTCGGAGCTCTTGCTGAAGCTAATGTAAAAGTCCCTGTCTAGGCCCTACCTCTTTTCTACTTAGAGTACATATGTGAATTCCCCCCTTGTTCTGTCTCCCACCCTGACAATTTCCTTCTCCTCCTCTTCCTTCTGCTCCTCACCCTTAACATTTCATAAATCATCATCTTATTCTTCCTCTACCCGAGCTCTATACTAGTTGACATGGGGAAACTGAGGCACAGTATTGTTGTCTCAGGTAATATATAGAGTCAGTGGATAAACTAGGAGTATGACAAAAGTGAACACAGGTCTCACCCCCTTTACTCCAATATCCTATAGAGAAATAATTATCACATCTTTCTTCCTGGCCTAGCATCCCATACTGCAGTCCAGAGGGTACATGGCCATCTATGAAACCTCAGAGGCACTGGAACCTACCTAGGAACTCATAGTCAGATCCCCATCCAGACAGGCACAAATACAGTCTCTCTCACACACATACCCAACTCAAAGCCATTATACGTCACGTCCCTTACAGCTACACACACATATACATAATTACATTCCCATAGAAACAGGCACAAGCCCACAGTGCCACACTAAGAAGCTCCAAATGTGCCTAGTCCTGTTCTCTCTCCACCCCCCAGAAATTCTGGGTCTCCTGAATCTGCCCCTCTATGAAGGATTGAGTTCTGCTGTGGCTGCCCAACTTCAGACCCCAGCCCCTAGCCCCCAACAACCTCCATGGAAGGTAAAGGGAGAATAATCCTTGTGACCTCAGTTTTCAGGCATTCCCCGTACCCTCCAGCATCCCAGTAGATTTGATGGATCCCACTGCTAATCCTGTTACAAAAGAACCAGGATCCAAAATAAATCCAATATGAGGTATCAGTGCCCCCAATCCCTACCCCACAGTGTGTAGACGTAGTCTCCTTGAAGTGGAAGAGCAAGGACCAGAGGACGCAGAAGAGGAAGGCGACAAGTGGACAGCAGACTGTGAGCACGGCCACGAGGGTGAAGCGAAGCCGGAACAGGGCCCCATCCCGGTCCAGTGACAGTGGAACCTGGTACATCTTGTCAGACCTGGGGATGGAGTGGTGTGGTGTCAGGGCCCAACGCAGCAAGGTGAAGTCAGCGCTTGTGCTCAGTCTTCAAAGAAGGAAGCCAGTTAGCCCCTAAGCTTGGACAGCTCCTGTCCTGGGTGAGAAAGACTGATTTGGAAACCTAGGAGAATTCTGACCTTTAATTTCAGAGGACAGGGAACCAGACCTGTCTTGCAATGAATCTTGAATAGATTGGGATCCCCTCTTCCCTATACTCAGGATTATAGGAACTGGTTTAATTAGTCTCTTGTTTCAGGAACCAATTCTAAAGCCTTCTAGCAGCAGAAAGGTCTTGAACTTTCATGCTTCAGGGCCTCCCATCAGCTCTCAATGCTTTACCCTCTGGCCCAGGGTCCCACTGTACCCTTCGTCCCTTCCCAAGCTCTGTGTGCCTGCACCACAATTCATAGCAACAAGGACTCCATGGAAACCAACAGAACCTCGGACTCCCTACTTGTCCCTGCCTGCTGCCTCACATGCTCTGATAGTGAAAGGCTTTGCAGTGTCAGGCCTGGTGCTGACATGGGCTTGCTGTTTACTGAAGAAAGCTGCCTAGTCAGCTTCTGGGGGCTTGCCAGTGCCCAGGGGCCTGTCCACCCCTCTGGATAGAAGGTACGGGCTCCTGAGGATTGTGACTCCCTGCTCAGATGAGGTTATCTAAGGTCAGGAACTATAATAGCCGAATATACAGCAGCAATCCTAGCCCAGAACCCTTGTGTAGGGATGGAGAAGCTGAGACCAAGAGAAGGAGCAGGAACCTGCTCAGAGCCATAGAGTCACAAACTGCAACTCTGGTCTTCATTGACCCCCTAACCCTTAGGCCAGAGATCTTGGCAGAAAGGTCAAATTAGAAGGGGAAAGCGAAAGAGTGCCTGTCTATAAAAGGAAGAAGGGTAAAAACCAAATCCTATATGGATGAGTCAGTCATCCCTGCTCCCATTGTAAAGACAGGGAAACCAAAACAGAGAGAGAAGGCCCTTCCTCAAAGCAATATGCTGTCCAGAGGAAAAGCCATCCTCACCACTTAGGCTTCTTGTTGCCAAACTGGTTCCAGATACATAAATAACTTACTCTTCTGGACTCAAGCTCCACCAGATCAAGTCCCAACTCTTCTGGGCTCCACCCACAGGCCTCTCCCTTCTAGTCCTATCTTCCGGAAGAACCTGACTGCCATAGGCTGGCCTTCTGGCCTTCCGGAAGCAACCAGGAAAATACACCTCCACACAGTCATCTATCTTCTCCCCCATCCCTCTGCCAGGCCCTGTTAGGCAGCCTATCCCAACTGTTCAAGCTCATTTCTTCCTTCAGGGGCTAGGGGTCCCGCAGGGGAGTAGGAAGTGGCTCTGGTGAGCCTCCCCGATCAAACACATTCCTTGGATCATCCAAATAGACGGAGTCCCTCAAGGCCCTGGAAAGGGAACACCTTCCCCACCCAGACCAAACCCAGATTCTGTGCGTGTAGCAGCAGTCCCTCCTAAAACCCCTTCCTGAAGCCAGTTGCTACAGATCCTTCCGGAACCACGGGGTCTCCAAACTGAACCCTGGATCCTCAAGGAATAAAAAGTTACGAAAGTTACTGCTCAAAGCAGAGGATGTCAAGATGTTGTAAGAACAGGCTGTTCCACTTCTTCAAGATATGCATGGCCTCCTTTTTAGCTGTGTGACCTTGGGCACATCACCTACCCATTCTGGACCTGTTTCCACAATTGTTCAACAAGGGGATCATGTTGTTTTAGATAAAACCATTCCAACTTGGACATTCAACTCCTCCAGAACAGTGAGCTCACTACCTGAAGGTCAGCTGTTCAGCCCCAGTTAGCTCTAACTTCCTCGTAGGTATTACTTCGTTGAAAACAGCTTTCTTAGGAGTACCCCTACCTCATCTCTAAACATCTTCTCAGCTTCCAGTCCTAATCCACAGTTACTAGATGCCTTCTGAATCTGGGCACTACATATGATTTCTTTTACTCCTCACTATAATTCTATGAGGTGGGCACTATGGTGGGAATTTATTTCCATTTTACAGAATAGGAAAGGCTCAGGGAGGCTAAAAACATTTGCTCAAGAGCCCATGCTAATAACTGTCAGCTGAGGTTTGAAACTAATATATTGGATTCCAGGTCCTCACCCCCCGCCCCCCAACACCTGTTTTCTTTGTGTGTGTGTGTGTGTGGGGGGGGTTTTGTTGTTAATCCTCACCTGAGGATATTTTTTCCATTGATTCTTAGAAAGAAAGAATACATCAATATGAGAGGTTGCCTCCTGCATGGGGGCCAGGGATAGAATCTGCAATTGAGGCAGTGCCCTTGACCTTGACCAGTCCACCGGAATCTAACCCAGACCTTTCAGACCGAGGGCTCATGCTCTAACCACTGAACCACTGGCTGGGTGGCAACACAAGCATTTCCAGGCACCTATGGAGGAATGCGGAGGAGGAGTCCATGTCGTGTTAAGAAAGGAGAGCTCAGCCCCTGCACACCCAGCCCCAGATAAGGGAAAAGGGGTCAGCTCAGCAATGCAGGACAGTAGCAGTTCCTGGGTAGGGGCCAGGACTCCGAGTTAGGGATGGGGCCCTGCGGAGGCTGAACCACGTGGCCCAGCTCCCCCAACCGGGGCTGCCCTGCGGTCCAGCACACCCATCCCCATACTCACCTAAAGCTGCGGCTTCGAGGAGACCGCTCTAGCGCAGGCCAGGAGCGGAGGGGTCTGGGGACCCGGAGGGTAGCCCAGGCCCGGCCGGGAGGCAGGGGGGTGAGGGGGGAGGAGCGGCGAGGAAGGGAGTGGGACGGTGGGGGCGGGGCCGGCGCGCTTGGGGCGGAACTTGGGAAGGAAACTGCGCCCAGATCCTCCGCTGGCTCCTCCCCGTTTCTGCAGACCCAGGCCCTGGGCTCTTCTCCTTAATCCGGTGCCCCCTCAAACCATGCCCCTCTAGCCCTCATCTGTTCCTCTAATTCCGGATGCGTGGGGACGGCCGGATGAGCCCTGCACAGCGGGTTTGACTCGTTGGATAAGCCGCCTAGTTACCTTACCTCTCAATTGCGTTCCATCACCTGTTGAAAGAACAGAAGATTTAAATTCAGCAAAGCCCCGGATTCTCTCATTTCTTGACCTCAGTCTCTCCTTCTTGACCCCAGTCTCTCCTTCTCCCCATTCTAGCCGAATTATCCAGCCTCACTCCTCTAAAACATTGAATCAGTTTTGTCCCAACCTTGGTCCTAAACTTTGTTACCCAGAGCCGATTTGGGGAATTTCAGCAGAGAAGGGCACCTGACAGGTAATGAAATCCAGTGAGGCCCACCCCAGAAACTCTAGGCCAGAGCTATTCCCGCCTTTGGTCAGGAGAGGGCGCCCTGCCCTATCAATCAGAGCTGAGAGGATCTCCAGCCCCAGCCCTGGTTTCTCCCCACAAGGGAAGAAAGGGTTGATCACCAGAAACCTGCCCCCCAGCGTTCCCTCCCCACGCTGACTGACCCATAAAGAAACTCGAAGGAGACTCTTGGCTCCCTTTGCAAAGTTCATCCTACTCCATTAGGGAAAGGGATGAAGGGACCAGTAATCCTTCCTGCAAGCGCAATGCCTGTTTTGTCAGAGCAGACAGGGGTTGGAGGGCCTCTAAGCTAGACACCACCATCACATTTCCCCCCACTTAGTAATTTTTTTTAAATTTCTTTAATGATTATGGCATTAACATATGTGTCCTTATTCCCCCATTCTCCCCATAATTTTTAAAAATTGATTTTAGAGCCGAAGCCAGTTTGGCTCAGTGGTAAAGTGTTGGTCTGTGTGCGGACTGAAAGGTCCCAGGTTCGATTGCGGTCAAGGGTATGTACATTGGTTGCAGGCACATCCCCGGTAGGGGGTGTGCAAGAGGCAGCTGGTCAATGTTTCTCTTTCATCGATGTTTCTAGCTCTCAATCTCTCTCTCTCTCTCTCTCTCTCTCCCTTCCTCTCTATAAAAAATCAATAAAATATATTTTTGAAAAAAATTGATTTTAGAGAGATACATCAAGTTTTGTTGTTCCACTTATTTATACATTCATTGATTGCTTCTTCTTATAGGTGCCCTGACTGGTTTTAACCCACAACTTTGATGTATCTGGATGATACCCTAACCAAATGAGCAATTGGCCAGGACCTTATTTCCTGCCCCCATTTAATCACCACAGTAATTAGCACATTTTGAGTTCCCTGTGTCCCAGGGCACTTTTCTGCTTTTTATGTTATCATATTTAATCCTCACTAAAAACTCTCTGAGATAGATACTATTAGTATACCCATTTTATCAATGGAAAACAGAAGGTAAAGTTACCTACTCACACAGATAATAAATGGTAGAACCAGGATTTTAGACTGGAACATGAGATCCTTTAATCACTATATCCTCTACGAGGTTGCAAGATCACTTTGCATCACTTCTCAGTCTTTCGGCCAAGATCCAGTATAGTATCTGTTCTTATCAATTTACTATCTGATATACTATCTTATCAATTTACTGTTTTCTACTCAAGGACAATATATTACATGGATTTTTGAAGTAGGGAGATGGAATAGGAGCTTGCTCCATGTTTTTGCCCATTGGCCCAGTATTGCAATAATAAAATAAAATAAAAGCCTAGCCAGTTTGGCTCTGTGGATAGAGTGTCAGCCTGTGGACTAAAAGGTCCCAGGTTCGATTCCAGTCAAGGGCATGTACCTTGTTTGCGGGCACATCCCCAGTGGCAGCTGATTGATGTTTCTCTCTCATCCATGTTTCTAATTCTATCTCTGTAAGAAAAATCAATAAAATATATATTTTTAAAAATCACCACTTTGCAAATGGGGAAACAGAGATCCCAATTTTTATTAACTTGCCAGAGCTTATTTCAGGCATTCACTCTTGTTCATTCACTCACTGTAGGCGTGCTCTGTGGCAAGCCCTGGGGTGGCCAATGGTGGGGAACCCAGAGATACCTGGGCCCCACTCCTGGAGGAAAAGTATCTTATTCTCAAAACTACTTTTCTTGACTTTGAATTCTTCCCACCTTCTCCTTTAAGGTCCCAGGCAAGTGAACAATTAATAAAACTTTGCTAAAAAACCACTTCCATTTAGTTTCAAAAACTGGATTTAGGTTTTCTACCTTTGGGCTTCAAGTCATCCTCTTTAGCTCCAACCTACAGATGGCCTGCTTCTGGCCCTCGTTCCCTGTCTTGAGCTCTTTCCTGGTCCCACATCTTTATTCTCCCTGTTCATCTGGCTTGGAGTGCTTCTTTTCCTCCATCTCTTCCTGTAACTCTACTCTTCCTGTAAAGGTAGTGATTAGCATGACATTTTGGTAATTTAGAAATTCATGTGGTCATTTCTAGGAGATCAGTAAAATAATAGAAAAAAAAGAATTTTATTTCTAAATTGGCACAGGAAGAAAAACAAAATAATCTGGAAGAATGCAGGAAAGGAGATTTAAATGGCCAATAAACACATAAAAAGATAGTCATCATCATTAGTTATTAGGAAAATGTACATGAAAAGGACAATTCACACCCCCAAGGATGGCTATAATTTTTTTTTAAAAAGGAAAATAACAAATGTTGGAAGTGATGTGGAGAAATTGGGACCGTCATATAATGCTGATGGGAATGTAAAATGGTATAGTCACTTTGTAAAACAGTTTGACAGTTCCTCAAAATGTTAAACATAGTTACCATATGATCCTACAATCTACTTCTAGGTATAAAAATATGAATACAAAAGAATTGAAAACTTATGTCCATAAATGACTTGTACATGAATGTTCATAACAGTATCATTCTTAGTAGTTACAAAATGGAAACAACTCAAATATCATTTAACTCATGAATGTATAAACAAATATATCTATAAAATGGAATATTATTTGACCTGAAAAGAAATGAAGTACTAATCCATGCTACAACACAAATTAACCTTAAAAACATTATGCTAAGTAAAAGAAGTCAGACACAAAGGTCATATTGTATGGCTCCATTTGTATGAAATGTCCAGAAGAGGCAAATTAATTGAAACAAAGTAGATTAGTAGTTGCCAGGGGCTGGTAGAGGGAGAGATGGAGAATGACTGCTGCCCTAGTCCGTCTGGCTCAGTGGATAGAGCATTGATTGGCCTGTGGACCAAAGGGTCCAAGGTTGGATTCTGGTGAAGGACATGTACTGAGGTTCAGGCCCAGGGCCTAGTTGGGAAGTATGCAAAAGGCAACCAATCGATGTGTTTTTCTCACACCGATATTTCTTTTTCCTTTTTTAGATGCTTTTTTATTTTTAAATAATTTTATTGAGTTTTTACAGATTAAGGGAGAGAGTTAGAAACATCGATGAGAGAGATACATCAGAGAGATATATCGATCAGCTGCCTCCTGCACACCACGTACGGGGGATGTGCCTGCAATCCAGGTACATGCCCTTGACCGGAATTGAACCCGGGACCTTTCAGTCCGCAGGCAAACGCTCTATCCATTGAGCCAAACCGGTTTCGGTTCACATTGATATTTGTCTTTCCCTGTCTCTCTTTCACTCTCTCTAAGTCAATGGAAAAATATCCTCTGGTGAGAATTAAAAAGAGAGAATGACTCTAATTGATATGATTTTAAGAGAGAGGAGAAGGGGGAGAGAAATATTGATTTGTTGTTCTACTTATTTATGCATTCATTGGTTGATTCTTTTTTTTAAAAGATATTTTATTGATTTTTTACAGAGAGAGAGAGAGGGATAGAGTTAGAAACATCAATGAGAGAGAAATATCCATCAGCTGCCTCTTGCACACTCCCTACTGGGGATGTGCCTGCAACCAGGGTACATGCCCTTGACCAGAATCAAATCCTGGACCTTTCAGTCCGCAGGCCGACACACTCTATCCACTGAGCCAAATGGGTTTTGGCCATTGGTTGATTCTTGTATGTGCCCTGACCAGGGACAGAACCAGAAAATTTGGCATATTGGAATAATGCTCTAACGCTACCCGGCCAGAGTATGGGTTTTTACTTGGGGTTATGAAAATGTTCTGAAATTAGATAGTGGTGATGGTTGCACAACCATATGAATATACCAAAAACCTCTGGATTGAAGTACACTTTCAATGGGTAAGTTTGAATCATATGTGAATTATATAATTTATCATGTAAATTATATCTCAATTTTTAAACAGATCTGGCAAATAGCTGGGCCTCAATAAATGGCAGTTATTACTACAAAAAAGTAAAATAAAAAAAATCTAGTAAAGGAGAGACAGAAACAG